CAATCAAGGCAGCAAGTCCAGTGAGAAGGGAGAGGATAGATTACACAATAAATAACATCAGGACAATTGGCTGACCATTTGGCAGAAAATGAAGTTAGAGCCCTACATCACGCTACCCTCCAAAGTGAAGGAAAATTAGGTGCAAAGAAATAAAATCAAGGAAGATGTATAAAACAATGTCTATTTTTTATAAGCTTGCTTGTAGCAGCACAGATCCTTCTAAGCATGAAACAAATAATAAAGAAAAACAAGACTGATAGAGCGAGCTAATAAAAATGTTAATCTTCTGCACATCTGAACATACTAAAACCAAAATCAAGAAAAAACGATACTGAGAAAAATATTTGCAACATAAACGATTTTAAAAGGTCAACGTCCTCACTATCTCATCATTATGCAGGGAGAAAAGGGTTTTAAAATTTTTTAAATGGGCAAATGACATCATCAATATACTGACAACTTCAGAACTCTCGGCACATACGTAACAACTCCATCCAAACCTCTGCGCTAAGAGACTTGGCCAAACTCTAGCATGGCTTTTAGCAGAATAAGGTCATGTTCCTAGGACAACTCTAGGTCTTCATTAAAATGCCCGCCTGAAAAAGCTCAGTGTTGCCAGAAAAACTTGCTATTTGTTCTAGCCAGCACCTGACAATAGACCAGTAACTCCCTATTCTGGGCCCAAAAGTGTGTGTATAGCATCTCCTTGAATCCTCATAAAAACCTCAAGTAGCGTGTTATTATTACCCTAATATTACAACCAAGAAAGTGGAGGCTCAGAGACGTTCAGCAAGCTTCCCAAGGTCACACAGCAGTAAGCAGCAGAGTTGGAACTGCATCACAGGCTGGTCTGAGCAGAAACCCAGATCTTTCTAGGCCTCATTTTGGGACCCATGGTTTGGGACGTAGAAGGCCTGAGTTCTGATCCTGACTCTATCCCCAACCACTACCGTATGTGTCCTTGGCAAGCCTCTTCCCCTGTCTGACCCTCAGTTTCCTCATCTGTACCAAAGGAAGTGGACTGGCCCAGGTGGTGTGTCAAGTTCCTTCCTGCTCAGACATGCCAGATTTCTGCTCTCATAAAGCACCCAGTACCAACCGATGGCCAAGGACAGGTTCAAAGCAGAGGTCAGCCCCAGGTGGCCACGCACGGGGCCCCAAGCACTAGCCCACCTTGAATTCCTCGTGGACGCGCTCCTCCAGGACTTTGGCAGCCTTGCGGTCTTCCATCTCCACCTTCCACTTCTCCGCCAGGATCCGGGCTTTCTCGTTGGCCAGAGCATCCCGAAACTTCTTGGTGATCTCTGCTTCCTTCTGTCTCCTTCCAAGAGAGCACCACCAGGTGTAAGCTCGCGTGAAAAACTGAAGGACCACACAGCAACAGAACTTGAAGTAAAACAATAAGCAGTCTTTCCTTGGTCTATCAGAATGGCAAATATCAAAGGTCAAACAAAACCCAATGTTGGCAAAGGTGGGGAGAAACAGGCATTCTCACATATGGGAGTGCCAATCAGCAGAACTGTTCTGGAAGCCAGAAAAATAACACCAGGAAATCCCATTTCTCACTCAAGTGTACAAAGATGGATGTAAAAAATGCTTATCAGGGGATTTTTATAACATACAAAATGCTAAACTACTCAAATGTCTATCAATAAGGCCAAAAAGTTGGGTTTCTCATGTAATATAATACCTGTACTACATAGCAATCTTAAGTAGCACTGTGGATCTGTATTAATCAATTTGTCAGTTTGTGAATAAAACAGTTTTCAAAGTATACAGTGCCTAAACGCTCACTGTGATTATCTGCTGGTGGGTGTGGGTTGTGCTTTATTTTTTATAGTTTTTAGTGTTGGTTTACATGTTTTTACAATTTTACAACTGAAACACTGTCATTAAAAATTAGGGGGGTTGAACTTCAACAAGGGGAAGTAAAAAAATTGTCGGGGGAAGTGTTGGGGTCAACATCACACAGATTTCCAAGCTTGGCGAAAAAATGTTAAAAGTTGCTTATGAAAGGAGTCTGACTCCAAACCTCACCAGGGCTCAAATGTCATCTTGTGTGAGAACCACGGGTAACATGACAAGGAACAAGCTAATGACAAACGTGAATCCAAACTGCAATACTGTCCCCGTGACAACCCAGCGAGGGAAAAAGCAGAAGCAGGTCATATGTGTCATCTCGGTGAACACAAACTGGATCTGTACGGGAACAGTGCTGTCATGCCCACGCTACAGACGTGCAAACTGAGTCCCCAGATCAGCCAACTACGAATTGGCAGAGCCAGGATTTGAACCTGACGCAAGACTCTGATGGTCACCTGATCTTAGCAGAGCTCAAAATAGCCAGCCAGCTGACTGACACCTCCCTCCCACCCACAACCAATTGTCCTTAGCTCGGCCCCACCCAGCGCCCCCTGGCACCCCTCACCAGAGCTCCTCGGCCTCCCTCTGTGCCTGCAGCCGCGCCCTCTCTGCAATCAGCTCCTCGGAGATCTCTTCATAGGGCTTGTCTCCAGGGCCTTCTCCCATGATCCAGACCCAGACCTCGCCATCTGCGCCCAGGAGCCACTGGATGTGCTTGTCACTCGCTGCCTCGCAATAGAAGGAAGAAACAGGTTTGAGTTGGAATTAGTAAGGAATGACCTAAGCTGGCAGACGGTACACAACCATCACATCACTCTATACAACATTGTCACCTATAAAAAGGATTCCAGAGAGACACTGGCCTGAGTGCAGGTCCATGAGTATCTCTCCCTCCCTCTCCCTCCAGGGAGCAGCACGATGGCCAAGCCAGCCTGCAGGAGCAGGTGTCCACGTCTGGAACCGGTGTCCGAGGCCAAGCTCTCCTGCGCTTTTCAGCAGAGAACATCAAATGACATTGTAGTACTCTCCAAAGGAAGTGACTTGTGTCACTCCTGGGCTGAGGCAGTTAGGAGCTGCTGAGGCCTGTCTACACTCTCCCCCTCCTGTCCACTGGCTGGAAGCAAGGAACTGGAGATGGCGGAGTTGCAAAATGAAGCAGCCCAGGGTCCTGAGTCTCCCTGGCCTGCAACAGACTATAACACGAGCAAGAAATAAGCCCACGTTATATTCAACCTATTGCAACAGATTCCACTGATTACCGTGACCAAAATGGAAATCTATCCCAAAAGTGGGGTGCTGCTGAAACAGAAATATAAACTACGTGTCACTGCCTTAGCACTTGGGTGGTGAGTGGTGTGTGGCAGCTGGAGATCCATGTCATGCAGCAGCAAAACATCTGAAACTGTAACTTAAAAGGAAGATCCCCATGTTTTCTGAACATGTCGTTCTAAGGGAAGAGGTTGGAAAATAGGATGTCAGTAGTGTGTGTTGGATGCTAGTGGCTGTGTCTGGCCAAGTTCTAAGAGAAAGAAATGAGATCAAGAAAGAATTGAGTGCTTTGCAAGTAGAAATGAAAGGCAGTAGAGAGAAGACAGAAGCTTGGGAATTCGTAGGATTGGAAAAACCATCTCATCTTCTTCTAGGCTCAAACTGCAGGAGATGGGATTTTTAAAGGTTTTGCAAGACAGAGCCCAGAGCCTTTATTCACTTCAAGGCGAATAAAGTGACCCAGGGCACAAAGCTCCTTGGTGGCCATGAGAATGTGCTTCATCCACCTCCAGCTACAGGGAGCAACGCTGACCAAGAAGTGCAGCTCCTGTGCTCTTGCGTGCGCACGGCCATGCTTCCCAGAGGCCACTCCCAGCCTTTGACCAAGCACATCAGGCTCACTGCCAGGAGACACCCGACTCCTGGAGGAAGAACTGCACAGCTGCCTAGAACACCTCCTCCCTTCCCCCAAGGTCAGGCGCCCATCGCAGGGTCAAGGCTCTCCCAGCCTCCGCCAGCTCTCTGCCCTTTCTCTCTCACGGGCATGTCCCTTAATAAAACCCTTGTGGGTTAATCCCACCCTGGTCCCTGTGCCTCAGGGGAACCAGATTAACACAGGCACATTAAAAGTGTCATCTCTTGCACTTAGTTTTATCAATAGCCTCAAGGAAGATGCCCTTTGGGCGAAAGGGAGAGGCACGGGGTAGAGGCAGAGAAGTGAAGTCAATATGAGAAACGTGTCTAGAGAGAATCTTGGGTGTTGTTACTGGGATGTGGAAGCTGACAGATCAGAAGCCTCCTAAATTTTTGAGCCTGGACCAAAAAACCTTTGATTGTTCAAGACTTAAACTGCCCTTGGGCACCCAACTTCGATGACCAGGAGGCAGGTTTCAAAGGCTAGGCTGGTCCAAGGAGGGCATGACCCTCAACACTCACTTCAGACGAGGCCGAGGGAATAATGAACGAGGAAGAGCCTCCTGGAGGGTGGGGTCAGTGTCCGCTCAAGGATTCCCTTCACTGCTGGGGCAGGGGGACTTCACACACCTGACCCACAGGACTTCGGGAGTGTAATAGACCAGAGACTGGGGCACGCACATTCTCCCCTTTGCAAATGACAGTTTCCTCGGCGGGTATTCTGACCCTGCTCCAACACTATACATTGTGCCTTAAGGGAAGGGGTGTTTAGATGACATGTCTTCTCAGCACATTCAGAACCCGGAGAACGGACTTGAGCTGGATGCAGTGACTGGATGGGACCTGAAGGCGTCCCCTTTAAGTAGACGGTGAGTGTATTTTATCTGGAGAAGAATGAAATGTGTGATGGCCAGAATGACAATTTATGACAATGGCAAGGCCTATGTCCACCTCCCCATTTCTCTTCCTGAGCCCACAGATGACTGCATTCTTCAGCTTCCCTTCAGTTCCATGGGACTGTATGGCAGAATTTAGTCTATGGAATGTCAGGGGAAGTGATTTGTGCCACTTTCAGGCTAAGGCTGTTAGCAGTTGTTGTGCCTTTTCCATATTTTCTCTCTTGTCCATACAACTGGAAATAAATGACTCCAAGATGGTGGAATTCCAAGAAAAAATCAGCATGACCCATGAGTCCGTGTTTGAAAACAAGCCACGCAGAAGAGCTGCCCAACCCACACCAAACTGCGATGTAGTCAAGCAATAAACCTTCTTTGTATTGATCTACTGAAATTTCAGGGTTGTCTATTGCACAAGGCAGCATTAATTCCTCAGGTGCATATAGGAAGGCATTGTTATTTTTTCAGTATGTTAAAAGCAATATAGTAATAGAGAAACACAGGTTTAATTATAACTGATAGAAACAGGGAGGGGGAGAAGGGGACGGAGCAAGATGGCCAAATAGAAACCCCCCAGCGATTGTCCGTGGGCATGAACACCAAATTCAACAACTACCCATGCAAGGAAACACTTTCAGAAGAACCAACAATTGGGTGAGCCATCAAAGTACCTAGTTTTAACATTATATCAAGGAAAGAGACACTGAAGAGGGCAGAAAAGAGTCTTGCATTGCCTATACCACCCCTCCCCTATCCCCTGGCAGTGCCAGAGTACTGCGGGGAGACAGAATCTGTGTGCCCAGGAGAGGGAGAATGAAGTGAATGTGGGATTCTGCATTGGAACTCAGGGCTGCTCCTGCCAGCACCCACGGAGGGAGCCTTTAGACCAGCCTGGCCAGAGGGAAATCCACCACCCCAAAACCTGAGTCCTGGCTAACACCACCACTAGCTAAAAAAATTGGCCTCGGTCCTGGAATAAATTTATAAGGTCGTCAGGCTACAAAGGCTGCAGTCTTGGGCAATTCCTGTGGCTGTGCTGGCTCAGAGCCCATGGACTTGACCCAGTGAGACACCAACAGTGGTGGCCAAGCCAGTGCCTGTGTATCCCCTCCCCAAACTCTAGGCAACACAGCTCAGGGAGAGTCTTCTCCCACCTGGGGAAAGGAAAGGGAAGACTTCAGAGGACTTTGTTTTGAAACTTGGGTACCAGCTCAGCCACAGTAAAATAAAGTATGAAGCAGACTCCTGAAGGCCCTGATCAGGCCTTAGTTCCTGGCAGCATTTCTAGATCCACCCTGGACCAGAAGGAAACACACTGCCCTGAAGAAAAGGACCCAGTCCTGGCAGCATTCACCACCTGCTAACTAAAGATCCCTTGGGCTTTGAATAAACATCAGAGGTAGCCAGGCAACAGTCACCATGGGCTTTGGATGAGACTGGGCTGGCTTCAGGTGTGACCTGATGCAGTTCCAGCTACAGTAGCCACAAGAAAGTGACCACGTTCCTCCTCCCCCAACTCCAGCAGCCCAGCACAGAAAGTGAGGGAAGAGAGTGAGAGACTTTGCCTGGTGATATAGGAACTCTCCCACATCTTACCCAAGTCCACCAAGGTGGTACCACCAGGAGCCTGCAAGAGTCACAGCATTACTGGGTTTGGGGCACCACCAGTGCTGATATGGCTGCAGTGACCAAAGACTTAATAGATCACAATACTCAATTCCCTTTGAATATCTAGAAAGCCTTCTCAAAAAGGATGGGTTCAAACAAGCCCAGACAATGAAGACTAAAATAAATACCTAACTCCTCAATGCCCAGACATTGATGAACATCCACAAGCATCAAGAATATCCAGGAAAATATGACTTCACCAAACGAACTAAATAAGGTACCAATGATCAACCCTGGAGTGGCGGAGAAATGTGACCTTTCAGACAAAGAATTCAAAATATCTGTCCTGAAGAAGTTCAATGAACTTCAAGACAACACAGAGAAGGAATCCAGAAGCCTATCACAGAAATTTAACAAAGATATTGAAATAATTTTTAAAAATCAAGCAAAAATTCTGGATCTGAAAAATCTAATTGACAAACTGAAAAAAATGCATCAATCTCTCAATAACAGAATAAATCAAGCAGAAGAAGGAATTAGTGAGTTTGAAAACAAGGTATTTGAAAATACACAGAAGAGAAAAAAGAAAAAAGAATTTTTAAAAAATGAAGCATGCCTACAAGATCTAAAAAAATAGCCTCAAAAGGGCAAATCTAAGAGTCATTGGCCTTAAAGAGGAAGTAGAGAGAGAGATTGGGGTAGAAAATTCATTCAAAGAAATAATAACAGGGAACTTTCCAAACCTTGAGAAAGATACCAATATTCAGGTACAAGAAGGTCTTAGAACACCAAGCACATTTAACAGTCTACCTCAAGGCATTTAATAATCAACCCCCCAAATGTCACAGAAAGAAAAAGTCCTAAGGGAAACAAGAAAAAAGAAAAAAATAATGTATAAAGTAGCTCCAATACAGTAGCTCCAAGCAGAAGACTTCTCAGTGGAAACCTTACAGGCCAAAAGAGTGGCATGACATATTCAAAGTGCTGAAGGAAGAAAATCTTAACTCTAGAATATTATATCCTGCAAAAATATCCTTCAAACATTAAGGAGAAATAATGACTTTCCAAGACAAACAAAAGCTGAGGGATTTCATTAATACCAGACCTGTCCCCCAAGAAATGCTAAAGGTAGTTCTTCAATATGAAAGGAAAGGACATTAATGAACAATAAGAAATTATCTGAAGGTATAAACCTCACTGGTAATAATAAGTACACAAATACAGAACACTCTGTTGCTGTCACTGCAGTGTATAGACCACTTATATCTCGAGTAGGAAGACTAAAAGACAAACCTATCAAAAATAATAACTACACAAACTTTT